TAGGCGGACCACTGCGGCTTCCCCAAGCCCGCCGTCACCCCACCCTATGGGACCCCAGCTTTTCACAGCCGCCCCCAAGCCCTCTGCCACCTGCCCCCTTACGGCACGCTGCAGCCGGGCCCACACCTAACCCCCAAAGCACATCCTCCCTCATTCGTGAACCAAATAAACCAGTCCGCACCCCACGCAGCCCAAGGTTTTGCCCTGCACCCAGGTCCCAACACCTGATGACCCGCCTTTACCACCTGGAAGGGGCTGGGGGTGGAAAATCAGAAGGAACCAGTGCCGGTGCCCGGAGCAATGCGGATAGCTGGAACTCTGCTGCTGGGGTGGAGAGAAGCGGTGGGAGTTGGTCCCACGCCATCACCCTGCAAGTGGATGTCTCATGAGAGGTTTGGGTCCCCTGGCAGCTGAATAGGAAGGTATGAAGAAAGGGAGATGAGGCAGGTTCCTCCTGCCCAGCCAACTCCTAGGAGAGGCTGCACCATGTGAAACTTGCACCTCACGATTGAAGTTCAGACCAGAGGCGCTTTGAGACCAGAGGCACTTGGCAAGCAAAGCTTTAGCAGGCCGGATGGAGGTCGGGCGAGCTGAGGACCCCAGGGAGCAGTACACGAGACTGCCCCGTGGGACCAAGGCTGCTTTACGTGGTGACTGCAGGCTGGTCTTAGCTTTGCCCCAGACTTGAGTCGGCTACCCTGGCCACAAGAGAGGGCTCAACCTTTGGTCCTGGGCACAGGGCCCAGGGACAAAAGGGCAGGCCTTTTTTTCTTTTTCTCTCTTTAGGGGGAGGGAGAACAGTAGTCATGGGCGGCACAGGTTATATGGTACTACTTGACGTGTGGATTAACTTCATAAGTGTGACCTCGGACAGTTCCTGTCCTCTCTCTGGCCCCAAATACACAACATGTGTAGGCACTAAATACATATTTGTTAAATGTCTTCATCTGGATAATATGGTAGGAGATCATCCACAGCCCAGTCCCTCCCCGACTGGTCTCCATTTAGGTCCTCTATACATACTCCCCCAGCTTGTCAGGAGATGGGACCAGGTGAGCTGTCTATCTAGCAGAGTGGAGTGGGTCAAAGCAAGCCTCAAAGGTAAAAGAGGCATTTTAGAGGAGACATAATGGCCTGAGGTGGAGGTGCTCACTGCATCCCTGGAAATGAGAAGGGAGGCTGTTGGCCTTGATCTCTGAGACAAACAGCAGCCAGTGTCTTCCTCCCCCCTTCCAGCTTCCCAGGGCCTCTGGGGTGTGAGATCCTCCTCCATTGCAGTGCCCCACCCCCTCCCGGCAGAAGCCTAGGGAATGGCTCTGTCACCAGAGGTGTCATTTCCCAGCTGTCTGGGGGAGGGAGTGAGCTGGGAGTGTGTATGTGCTGGGTGTGGGAACTCAGCCCAATCTAAGAAACTCTTGGCTCCCTCCCCCTAGGAGGAGCAGTCAGGTCCCTGGTCCTTGTGCACTGACACAGAAATGACTGTGTGATAAAGAAGAAAAGAGCAGCTCCCAAGAGGCTCTCAGATCATGCTGTGGGCTGCTGGTTCTTGCTTTTTGGTCCTGAGACAACTCTGCTTTCTAGTCAGAGAACAAAGATGCCAAATTCCAGCCTTTTAAGTTCAAACGCCTCAATGTCTGGGAATAAATAAGACAGGGAGGATTGGAAGGAGGTAGGCACAAACAGGAAGACACCCCCACTCCCCAGCTTGACACCCTGCACTAAGTGGGGGGAACTTAGTGCAGGACCAAGTAAGATGTTAGACACTGGCTTAAGGGTGATGTGGAAAGGACAGAGCTCCAGATAAATTTGGGGAGCCAAGGCCATGGGGTGTGGCTTGGAAAGCTGGCACATTGCTATTGCTATTGGGTCCTGGGGCCAGCAGCAGCAGAGTAGAAATGAGGGTGTGTATGACCTGTGGAGGTGAGGGGGGGCCAGAAGGACTTATCTCAGAGAGGACTCCCACCGAGCATCCCCTCCCCACTATACCACCTAGGCTGTGATGCTAAGGAACTCCTCACATTTAGACCAATGGTGGAGGTGGGAAAAGAGTTGGGAGTGGAGCCAGGCTTGGTGGCTCAGCCTGTAATCCTGTGCCTTTGGAAGGCTGAGGTGAGTGGATTGCCTGAGCCCGCGGGTTCGAGACCCACCTGGGCAACTTGGTGAGACCTCATCTCTACAATAAATCAAAATGAACCGGGCATGGTAGCTTGCGTCTGTAGTTCCAGCTACTTGGAAGGCTGAGGCGGAAGGATCGCCGGAGCCCAGCAGGTCGAGGCTGCGGTGGCTGGGAGCGGCCACTGCACTCCAGTTTGGGCGACAGAGTGAGACTCCAACTCAAAAAAAAAAAAAGACTTGGGGGTGGGATGACTGCGTCCACCTGGAAATGAATAAGGGAATGTTTTCTACAAGCAGATAGATTGGAGACCAAAAAGAAAGGGAAGCTGAACTAAAGAAAATAATGTGTTTATGTAACTGAGATCTGGCTTTTGCATTTACCTGTGCAGGGATTGGCAGCTGAATTTCTAGGCCCCAGCCCCAAGATCCATTCAAAGGATGTGGGAGGGACCCAAGATGATTCTGATGTAAGCCACAGAGATCACACTTTAATAAAGGCTTTCTTTTGCTGCTTTTTTATGGGGGCCAGCCCCCAAAAAGAGATTTAGAGGGTCCCTGGAAGGTGGGGCAGCATCGGCGAATATTCTGGAGAAATAAGGAGAAAGAAAGAGACTGGACCCTGACTAGTGCAGAAGCCGATTCTGTAGTAGGGATAGATATTGAAAGAAAGATGGAGGGATAGATATAAAGAGAAAGAAAGAAAGTGGACAACTGTTCAGTGAAATGAGCAGAAGCCATTTATTGGGACCAACCATGAGTCTTTTATCCCAAATTTTCACATGTTAAATCACAAGACTTTCACGTGAGCACAAGGCCAGGTGGGTGAGGTGCATCCCCCCACCCACCAGGTGTTTCCTTAGGCATGAGGAAGGACAATCCCAATCAAATCACAAGACTTTTACGTGAACACAAAGCAGGGGAGGGTGTCCCCCACCCACCAGGCGTTTTCCCAAGCATGAGGAAGGACAATTCCAAAGTTATCTCACTGTTCCTCATGCTTGGTTTATAGTCCTCAAAAGCAATATAACTGACTAAAATCCTAATACCTTTCTTATCTGTACTAATTTTACCTGTACTATAAACAACTCTTAATTATGGTTTAAACCAGTTCCTAAAGAATGTGGCCCAGCCCAAAGTTTGTGCTGGGCCATTTCTGGTAACCCTAGATAATCATCTATACCATCTAATGCTGGAAACAGCTCTCTAAATGTATATACTAATTCTACAAATATATTTTTAAATCTTATAAAGAAGCTTGTATCATGTATAAGGCTCCCAAATGTGATCTGAGTTTGAACTGTGTTAAGTTTAAAGCCGGAACCGCAGTCTGTGAGAAACGGGAACAATGGATCCCTAGAGTCAGCCATGCCTGTCATACTCTCAGAACTTCATGCTTAGATCATTAAAATCCCTGCCAGTGGGTAATGCTAAACAACAAAGAAAGGAGGAGGGAATGGGCCTTAAGCTCCTGAACCAGCCTGGTGGTCTCAAGGTCTGCAGCCCGCCTGGATCCCTAACGCTCAGGCAGGCCTCCATGGCTGGCTCCCAACATCTATTCATTTTCTTTTTTTTTTTTTTTTTTTTTAGTTGGAGTCTCACTCTGTCTCCCAGACTGGAGTGCAGTGGCCGCTCCCGGCCACGGCAGCCTCGACCTGCTGGGCTCCCGCAATCCTTCCGCCTCAGCCTTCTAAGTAGCTGGAACTACAGGCATGCACTACCACGCCTGGTTAATTTTTTTTTTTTAATTTATTGTAGAGATGAGGTCTCGCCAAGTTGCCCAGGTGGGTCTCGAATCCCCGGGCTCAGGCAATCCACTCACCTCAGCCTCCCAAGGCGAGGGATTACAGGCTGAGCCACCGAGCCCAGTTTGTTTTTTCATTTTCAATTACTGGTTTCGAAATTGGGATGGAAGGAGGCTGGGTCATTCCCACACTGACTCAGGCATTTGCTCCATATACATGAGTCAAACCTGACTGAACTAGTTATTAATTTCAGAGATCTTGTGTGTTCCTCAATGCAGCTTGTAAAGAAAGGGGCTTCAAATTAGGAACAAACTGTGCCCAGAATAGGGACTGTGAGGCTAGTCCCACCACCATGGCACTCAGCTGTGGCCTCTGGTGAGCCCTCCAGTCAAAAAAGTTCCTGGGACTTCCTGGCAAGCTCTGGGATTCTGGAGGTTAAAGGAAACTCCAAGGACTGTGTCCCCGGCACTTGACATGGATTGCCATGTGT